ACCACCTCTTCTACTGGCTGCACAGCATTCAGCAAAATATCTCAACTTTCAGAGTCTCAGGCTCTATATCTGTAAAACAGGAAAATTGTACTAACTCATGGTAGTATTCTGAGAACTGTTGATATTTGAAAATACTATACCAATGAAGGCAATATATGCTATTAATCATGAGATGATTTCATACAATTTCAAAAAAGAAAAAACATTGCTGATTAAAGAGTTTTTCTGTTTAAATTATTAATTCTTCAAATACTGTGGTGATGTAGACAGTGATATAAATTTCTTATTTAGGTTGCAATGCAACAGGAATACACCAATTATAAGACATAATTGGATCTAACTGTATTCTCCCTGGAGTTTTGGAAAGTTTTGAATCCTCCATGTTGACAGTTCTAACTTTAGCTTGCTGCAAATATTGGGCCCCTCCCTGGCTCACTTCAAAAAGAACTTAAAATGTCTCGCTGTACTAATGGCTGCTGTCTTGGAGGATTTTCTGGAGCTCAAAAGGTACAGAAACACTTAGATAACCACAAAGGCCCTAAGAATCTACAGGTTATCTTCCTTTTCTTTTTTTTTTTTTAATCATACTCAGCAGTTGCTAGGGCTAGTTCTATTCAAAATAATTGTTGAGTTCAATATAATTAAAATGAGAAGAGGCTGAACCTCGTTCACAGGAGTGGATTCACACCAGCTTGCAAATGCTACTGTGAAGCAGTGTGTCATGCTTTACATGAGAAACAGAAAGGTCAGTGGGGGAGCAGTCACTGAACTCCTCTGATCAGTACATTTTTCTTGCTCTGCAATGCCCTGATACAGCATTCTCATCAGAAGGGGAAAACTAGGCCAAATGAAGGGGGTTACTTATATGAACAGCACATTTTATGTATTTTAAATTTATATGTACACTTTATTATGCTAAAAAACCACAATGTACATTCCTTTTTAAAATACTTTTTCAATGATCTATTTACACTGTTGTATAAACATCTACTTCATTTGCTTCTCACTTCTGCAAATTGTTCTATAATGCATGCTCACATGTAGAGGGCCCATTCCTTTGATGATGGACATCCAGGTTTCCTCCAATCATTTTTTGCCACAAGCAATGCAATAATGAGCATCCTTAGGCTATTCCCTTTGTAGTCATGGGTAAGAAATTATCAAGGACATATTCTCATGACTGAAATCACTGGACTCATGCAACTTTAAATACAGCCAGAGAGTTTTCCAGCATACCAGTGTTCACTCCCACCAGAATCTACCTTCCCACATGCTTGCCAACTTTTGGTATCATCTACTTTTTAAAAATTAATGATATATCATAGCTTTTTATCATTTAGTGAGCATTTTCAGATGTTCTAACTGTGAGAATTTTTCCATATACTTGTCAGCCACATAGAAAACCCTTTCTATGAATCAGAGATTTCTATCTTTCTAACTTTCTATTGGTTTAAATCTTTATGTTGTTGTTGTTGTTGTTTTCAAATTATTAACTGGAATTTTTTTCAATTTTTTAAATATATTTTATTGATTATGCTATTACAGTTATCCTACATCCTCCCCCTTCATTCCCTTCCACCCTGCACACCCCCTCCCACCCACATTCTCCCCCCTTTAGTTCATGTCCATGTGTCATAAGTTCTTTAGCTTCTACATTTCCCACAATATTCTTTCCCTCCCCTTGTCTATGTTCTACCTACCATCTATGTTACTTATTCTCCATACCTTTTCCCCCTCTCTCCTCCTCCCACTCCCCTCTTGCTAACCCTCCATGTGATCTCCATTTCTGTCATTCTGTTCCTGTTCTAGTTGTTTGCTTAGTTTGTTTTTGTTTTTGTTTTAGGTGTGGTTATTAATAATTGTGAGTTTTCTGTCATTTTACTATATATGTTTTTTATCTTCTTTTTCTTAGATAAGTCCCTTTAATGTTTCATAAAATAAGGACTTGGTGATGATGAATTCCTTCAACTTGACCTTATCTGAGAAGCACTTTATCTGCCCTTCCATTCTAAATGAAAGCTTTGCTGGGTAGAGCAATCTTGGAGTTTTATAAGGTTGTTTCCTCTGCTATAAGTTCACAAGATTTTCTGTACTGTCTTTTATTAATTTTATACTATCTTTTTCTTTACATGTAAATTGTTAGTCCATCTGGTTTCCACTTTTTTGTACAGTAATCTAAGGATCCAGTCTTATCTTTTTTCATATATATAAGCATTTTCCTAGCATGACATACTATGCTGTTACTTCCCCATTGCTCTGGGGTGACAGTTTTATAATATGTCATATCTCCATACAAAGATGTGTCTATATCTGAGATTTCTTTTCCTTTACACCAGACTGCACTTTAATGTCCCTGAACCTTTATGATAATATTTTTCAATCCTCACCCAAGGATATATTTATTGAGATTTTAGAGACAGCAAAAAAGAGAGAGAGATGGAGAAACATCCATGTGACAGAGAAACATCAATTGGTTGTCGCCCATATGCATCCCGAATGGGGACTGCACCCACAACCCTCTGGCGCACAGGACGATGCTTTAACCACCTGAGCTACCCAGCCAGGGCTATAATATTTTATAACTGTGACTTCACAGTGTGTTTCAAATATGGATGTTCCCCTTATTTTTCTCTTATAGTTTGATTGTGCAAATTGTGTACTTTTATTCTTCCATATGAATGTTAGAATGAGTACTCATATTCCTCAAAATAAATCAAGCCAAAATTTTGAATGTATTTAATTGAATGTATAGCCTAATTTGGGGAAAATGGCAGCCTTATATTTCATCCCATTTATTAACATGTACCTTTTGAATTACTCATAGTCTATTATAATTTTAAACAATTTCTATAAATACCTTGTACAGGCTTGGTTAAAATAACCCAGATGCCTCATAATTTTATTTTTATTATATTAATATCCATTATGCTTGCTAATCATGTATTGCTAATATAAAGAGAACTATTGATTTTTCCAGTGAGCTTACATTCAAAAGTCTTACTAACTTTTTCTCATTAGGTCTTACTCAATTTTTAGTCTCCCTTTTATTGTTACTTCTGCCATTTCTTGTATAATTTTAAACAGGACTACCAAGTCTATGTAAAATAGTAGCTGTAGAAGTGAAGATCCTTATTAAAAATCTTAGTGACAATGTATAAACTGTTTCAATTGTTACTGAATAGTAATTTTCTATAGGCTTTCGGTATATAGTTTCAAGATTAGAAAGTTATCTTCTGTTTCTGAACTTCACATGGTTCATATGAAAATGATTAATTGACCTTTACCAAATTTTTTCTTGCGTATCATAAAATAATTACTTTTAACCTTCTTTAGTCTGTTTCTATTACAACTTACTGATGTTGTTTACCAAATGTTTAAGGAAGGCTAATAAGAATGGTCCATATGCATAGAATAATAGTTCTTACTTCCTTAGATTATTATGAATAAAAGCATTTACAAATGTATCTGGCATAGAGTAATCAATATATATATATTATTATTGTATTTGATAATAAAATTTTTCAAGTACAGATTATTAGTATTACTCCCTACTCTTAGCATTGGTCTTCAAACCATGCCCTTTAGAAACCAAATGAAGGGAGGAAGAATGAATAAGGTACTAAAAATAGTGCCTTTTTTCTTTTCCTACAAAACAGTGGAACTTCAGAAAAATTCTTCTTTTTGTTTGTTTTATGTATTATACTTCTGTTTAAATTTTGTTTGCTAAGAAATAATGGTTGAATGTCACTGGTTTAATGTTTTACACATACACATTGTTAACAAAGGCACTGTTATTACAGTTGATCCCTAAGTGATAGTTCTTGCATCAGGCAAAAAGAAACAAGTTTGGGGGAGGCTACGATACACATTATATCTCTGTGTTAGTGATAAAAATTGACTTTGTAAGTACTTTTACTTCATTTCTATTAAAAACAGTCATTGAACAGAAAGTGCCTCATCAAATTGAGGTAGATACTGGAATCATATAAATACATGTCCTTTCTATAAACCCACTGTCCTCAGTGAGACAGTGTGCATATGTGTAATGACTACTTGTATTGCCAGCACACAACACTGAGCTCTAAAACAAAAGGCAACCACACAGGACTGCATTATGATTTTGATGGGTCCTAGAACTTGGCCATTACAGGCCCTTTCCTGCATACAATAATATTACATGTTATATCTGCATTGGCATGAAGATAACTATAGTATCTATTAAAACCTTAAAATTCATCATTTTATTCAGTTTTAAAAAGAAATCAAAACATTGTCATAGTCTCCTAACAGTATGGGAGGCCTACTGTGCCTAGTGGATAAGTCAGCCTGGCAGCCAGGGGCCAAGCATTCAAATACACACAGGATTCTGACAGCTACTAATTGTTACTGGGACCAACTGGCAATAACATGTTAGTATTCATCTCCAGTAGTACACAGACAACAGACAGAGGAGGGTATCCTGGTAGAACAGAGAACATACTTCAAATCCAATGGGTCAGCTGTAACAGAACTCAGTGATAGAAATGGATCCAATGTTTCCAATAACTATAATTTGTTCGAAGATAAGCTAAAAACACAGATTTTATACCATATCTCCTGCTCATACAATGCTGACCTTTAATTTAAATTTAAAGCACAGTGCACCAATCACTGCTAAACAAAGCACATCTGTCTGCTGCATCCTTGCTATAGGACACTGATTTGTGGTCAATGCATTAAGAGGCAGAACCACTAAAATGGCAATAAACTAGTTTGAGATCCAAATAGCCCATAATCAAATGTGTTTTCTCTTAGCCCCAAGAAAATCAGATTAGAATTCTTGCTCTAGTGACATGGGTTTCCAGTATGAAATTTGTCCCAGAGTTATATTGTTGCATCCAAATACAGCAGTACAGTAGCATAGAATATGATTCTTAAGAGAGGAGATGTTATCTCCACTATTTTAACAAGTTTGTATTCTATCACCCACAGAGTGTTGTTGGAAAAAGAGTATATGAAATATGGGAAGGACCAATGATTCCATAGTGACAGAATTTGTCCTGGTTGGACTTTCTTCCCACCCAAAGCTCCAGACAGCTTTCTTTGTGCTAGTTTTGTGGATGTACCTGATGATCCTTCTGGGAAATGGTGTCCTTATCTCAGTAATCATCTATGATTCCCACTTGCACACCCCCATGTATTTCTTCCTCTGTAATCTTTCCTTTCTGGACATTTGCTACACAAGCTCTTCTGTCCCACTAATTCTTAACACCTTTCTGACAGTAAGGAACAGTGTTCCCTTCTCTGGGTGCATGGTGCAAATGTTTCTCTCCTTTGCAATGGGGGCCACAGAATGTGTGCTTCTAGGCATGATGGCACTTGACCGCTATGTGGCCATCTGCTACCCACTGAGATACCCTGTCATCATGACCAAAGCTGTCTACACGCTCATGGCAGCTGGGTCCTGGGTCTCTGGGCTTGTCAATTCAGTGGTACAGACATCTCTCGCAATGCAGTTACCATTCTGCGCTAACAATGTCATTAACCATTTTTGTCTGTGAAATTCTGGCTATCCTAAAACTTGCCTGTGCTGATATTTCAATCAATGTGATCAGCATGGCAGTATCAAATCTGATGTTTCTGGTTATTCCATTGCTAGTAATTTCTATCTCTTACACTTTCATTGTTGCTACTATTCTGAGGATCCCTTCCACTGAAGGAAAACGTAAGGCCTTCTCCAACTGCTCAGCCCACTTGACAGTGGTGACTATATTCTATGGAACAGTTTTCTTCATGTACTCAAAGCCCAAGTCGTCCAGGTCTGTTGGCACAGATAATCAAGACATCATTGAGGCCCTCATCTCCCTCTTCTATGGAGTGGTAACCCCTGCACTCAATCCTCTCATCTACAGTCTGCGGAACAAGGATGTAAAAGCTGCTGTGAAGAACTTGCTGGGCAGGAAAAACTTCTCTGATGGGACATGAATGAATTCTGATTTACTCTGTGTGATTCACCATTCAAAACTGCGCAGACACAAAATTCAAGTAGAGAAAATTACCATGTGAAAACAAATTCACCATGCCATTCAAACCATATTATAGAATATTTCGGCTGCAGTTGTTACTATTAGTTTTTATTCTGGGTGCAGAAAAAAACACACTTTGGTTTTATAAAACAGTTTATGGAATGCAAAATGTTGAAAGTCTCTTGGGAAGGCCCAGCAAAACATAATCATTCTCAAACCTTCAGAAAATAATAAAGGCAAAAGGTGTTCTAAAAAGAACTCAGTAACCTAAAATAAGTGCATTATTTGTCACTTACTCAAAGTGATCGTTAATCAACATATGATATATTACATACTTACTTTTAATTTGTTCATTTATTTACTATTTGTGTCCACCACAAATATAAACTCTATGAGAGTGGGGACTTGTCTCTTTATTACCCTGTAACAACCCAAAGGCCTAGAATAGAACATGACATCTTACAGATGATCAATATATATTTTACAATGAATAAACCAATTATATCATGTATAAAACTAGAAATATATATCTGTCATAACTGAAGTTAAAAAGTTTATCCAAAAATATTTGATCCACCCTGGCTGGTGTGGCTCAGTGGATTGAGTGTTGGTCTGAGAACCAAAGCGTCACTGGTTCAGTTCCCAATCAGGACACAGGCCTGGGTTGCAGGCCAGTTCCACAGTAGGGAGCACACAAGTGCAACCACACATTGATATTTCTCTCCCTCTCTTTCTCCCTCCCTTACTCTTTGTCTAAAAATACATTAATAAAATCTTTTTAAAAAATTGATCCAGTGTAATAGTATCTAATTTACCTGTATTGGCATTCTGGCACATGACACCCTGAATAGTTAAACTGCTACCTCCCTTATACAATATGTATTATGTGATATAGAAGAACAGGTTTTATTTGTAGCTGTTATAACTTTTCTGGATTTGATACACAATGAGACTAAGATAGCTGAAAGTGTCCCTTAGTAATGCACTATAAGTTTTAACCTCATAAAATAGAGGTGACATGGTGCCACAGAACTCTTCTTGGATTCTTGAAAGAAACTGGGCTGTAATGAAGACTTCTTTCCTAGTCTGCATCGAATCACACCATTCCTAAACAGCAGGAGAGCTAGACAGAACTGGTAACTGACAAAAACTGTGATAAGAGGAGTAGAAGTGGCAAAGGACAAAGAGTCAAGTTGTTCAGTAAACTGAAGGCTATAGGGTTCTGGAAGTCCCATGGCCATTAAAGGAACTGAGTCACATCTAGCCCTTTGGGGAATCTACAAGAGTTTAAATTTAGAACATAAATCTAAAATAAAAGACTATAGCTACTTCTAAATTGTGAAAGTAAGCCCATAAAATCTTCCTTTCTTGTCAGCAGGTAATTATTGTTTCTTCATAAGACTGAATAAGTTAATTCATGCATAGCACTAAAAAGTGCCTAAAACATTAAATGTCCAATAAACATTGACTGTTTTCTTATTGTTGTTGTTGGGTGTACTATAATAGGCCATAAAGCTTTGAGTAGGCACAAGACTATCATCCTCACTCTTTATGAGGTAATTTTGATAGGATTAAACTACTGTATCTCGGCTTCCAACCCACTTTTCTATGCTCTGCTTTCTGAGTAAGGATTGGCACCTGGAAACCACATTGCTCCTTTGCTAGCTAGCATCTGTTAAATTCTTCCAAAAGAGTTGCAAGAGAGAGAATTGGAGGTTGGATGAAAATAAGAGACCTCCCTATGCACTTCTTGTTCCTGTCAGCATCATGTCACATATGACCCTTCACCATGACAATGGCAGCTCCTTCATGGCTTACAGTTCTGGTTTTAGTTTTCATTTTTTCTTTTCTATAACATAGAGCCAGCAGCTACCACTGCCACCTCTTCAGAAGTTTGTATGTGTTTCTCAGCTCTTTCTTCTGAAATGAAAAGGCCTGTGAAGTCTGTAGCCTGTCTTGAAGATCTTTCAAAGCAATAACATATGCAATTCTCTGCTTCAGAAGTACAGTGAATTAGATAGAGTATAAGCAACAGATTTCGTTAGATTATCGTTTTCATACACAACTAAATAACAAAAGGTAGTGGGAAGATATTTGTAGTTCTTCAGCTGTTGCTTTCTTGTGTCTAAAAGTAGATAATGAAAGCTTCTTTAGTGTATACTAAAATAACATGATAATAGTCATATAGTCCAATGAAAGGAAAATATTGAGTAATTATACCAGACCCTGAAATAGGAGTGAGAAGGGACAAACTTAGGACCTTGACACAAACATAACCATAACTCTTTTCTTTTATTAATGCATACCTAGCACCTACCTAAGTTCTAGCCCTGGCACAAAGTATGCTATTTCTATAAATATGTTAAATTAATTCATAGGTAAGTAAATAAATGAATGAGAAAACTTCAGAAGGGTACATGTAGTTTCCAAAATAATTTATCAAGCTCATATTATTGGATCCTCATGATAACTGTTCAAGTAGCTAATATTGGCCCAACTTTATATACTATAAAACCTAGTTCCAAAATTACAGAAATAGCTGAAGTCACAAGCAGGACATGGGAAGGAATTCATTTGAACAAAATAATGAACAAGTATAACAACTTAACTATTATAGAATACACATTATATACTCTTCTAAAGCACATATAAAACATGTACAAAAATTAATCTTTTTTTAGATTGAAAGCACAAATCAGCAAATTTTAAAAATTATATTAAACAGTCCATATTCTTCCAATTAAATTACAAGTAACTAATTTTAAAAACCCTATAACCTAAGGTAACTCTTCTAAATAACTAATGAGTAACCATATTCAAAATATCTAGCAATTTCTATGACAAATAATCCAATAAATCAGAATGAATGCCTGCCATAAATAACCAGTGTGGCTATAGTGATATATGCCAGGTAAATTTCAGCTTTGCTTTATACATCAGAGAAAAATTACAAAAAAAATTAAAATCTCATAAATCTAGACCTGACCTCATACCCATTAGTACCACAATGCCTGTTGTTGATAGTGAGTAGTCATGCTGATTGGATGATAAATGTGATATAGTCTTTATAAAAGATATTTTCAATATCAACCCTGCTAAGAAATAAAATATGACTGAATACTGTATATTAACATTCACTAGGTAGAGAAAAAGTAGTTGAGGGAAATTTTCATTTTTAAGTTCTTATAGGAAACAGTTGCATAAAGAAGAGAGAATGAAGGAAACAGAAACAGAAGGATAAGGATAAGAAACTATAGAATTTGAATGCAAAGCCATATGCAAAGCATTGTGCTGTGTATTCACATCTTATTTCCTATGAAATCATCCCTATAATGTTGGAAAGTATATCTCCTTGCTCTTAACTTATAAATGAAGAGACCAAGACTCATAGAAGTTAAGATCATGCAGGTTCTAATTAGTAAAGCTAGTTCCCCAACCATGGTTGTGACTATGAAGACGTGTTATTTCCTCTACTGCCTACTAGTATTAAGGGTAAATATCCCAAAGTCCAGTTGCACATGAATTAGGAAACTAAAGATATGAGAGGGCAAGAAAGTTGAAATAGCCTAAATGAACTTAACCTCAGAATTTCTCCAAACCTATTAACTGGATATATCGGTAAATTCAGGGGACTATGATGACAAACTTCTCAATAATTTTAGCAAAAGCCATGAATAAGAGTGAGTAATACTTTGACTCAGTATTATAACATCCTCCTGAGAAACTCACTGATATCCTTGTGCTTACATATGAGAGACAATAATCACAAGGAATCAAGTGTCTTAACCAAGCAGAAAACTGCTAAATAAACCTAGGGTCATGGTTGTTCAGTGTGATGTACTTTAGGGATGAATTCTTAGGGTTCAAGGATTTTTAGTTTATAGAGAGGCAGAAAACATTACTGGTTAGGAGAATAGACGTGCAATTAACTATTGAGACAAATCTCATCCCCACATCTACCATAATAATCTATAGCCTAGGCAAGCAATTTAACTTCTCTGAATCTCACTTTTCTATTTATTGTAAGGACTAAATATACCAGCTCATTCATCCATACTTTATAGCACTTCTCACACTCTAGAGAAAGGGTCTTAATCTGAAAAACCAAAGAGCCAGAGGAATAAGGAGAGTTCAACTATAACCATGTTTGCTGTGGTATAGTAGGTCACCAGGAAGATGTAGTCTAGCCATTAGAAGAAATGAAAAGTTAAACACTAATGATGAACATTTCATGTGATGCTGTAAACGGTGTGATTTTTTATCCAAATATTATAGGTAATATTCTTGCAGTATATGAGGAAGGCAGAGCAAGAATTACAACTGCATCCACATTTTAGGGAAGAAACAATCCTTTAAAACTGCTGAAAGGAGGAGTAAGTTGGGAGAAAGAGAATGAAGGCATGGATACATAGACTCGCCAAGATCACAAAAGGGGAAGCCTCCAGAACCTTAAAAGGAAATATCCTAACTCTAAGAAAGGAAATTGGAGATACGGGACTGTAGGGAACCAACTGATTTGTTTTAAATTTGACAAATGTGACTCAGCTTTGTATGGAAAACCAACAGGAGTAAAGTGGCAGGCAGGAGCCAGAACTTCAAACTGGGTTTTCTCCTGGGAACCAGGCCTAGAAAATGCAGCCAGACTGTTATGGCTTGCTCTTGCTAAAACTCCCTCACCCTGGTCTGAAACATACATGTGTATTGCCTGTCTTCAAGGTAATCTCCAAAGCTTGTGTCAATTTTCCCAAGGACATAGCATATTCAGCTGCCCATCTTTCCCCTCTGCATTTGTTATTTTCATTTCCTTGGTTGTACCTAATATATAGAAAATAACATTCTATGTAATAGATCATTAATCCTTCTTTGATGTAAGACCCGAGAGAAACAATAAAAGCCTGTCCAGGCAAGGGTCAGGGTGCTCTCCCCTTAAGACAGTGGCCAAGCCACTCCACCCTTGAG